TATGGCTAAAGAATAGTTTTTTATCGGGAGGAGCTTTATTGAAAGCTGGATGAAATCCATAATTAATTGAAAAATACAGGATTATCCTGGCTAAGTAATTCACTTAACACGTTCAATCCATTAAAAATTAAAACAGATTCCCGATATTTATAAAAAAACAATCGGTGAGAAGTGCAACGAAATCCATACTGTTTTCAAGATTTCTAAACAACGACGCTTGATTTCATCTATCGCATCTACGATTATACAGAATGCACATGTAGCATCCCTAATACTTTTTTCATACATAATACTTTTTAACTCCGTTTGAGTAGTCCATACACAGTGTCTCAGAACGAAGAACAAAGATAGAGTCGCAACAGGAGCTTTCTAAACTTCCGGTAACCTCTGCCAAAAGTTGGCGCTGCCGCGTAATCAGCAGACGCGGTTCCCCTTCTTCTTCTTATGAGAAACGTGTCTGGCATGAAATATTCCCGCGGGTAATTAGATTGCGTCGCGAATACTATGTATCTGTGTGCAACTGGGTAAGTGAGCTGTCGTCGGATTACGCGGGGATATCCGGATCCCTTGTTCGGAATCAATTCACGCGGAGGTAGCCTAATTCGAGGCCGATTCGTTTCGCGATACACCCTATTCTCCCGGTGATCCTCCTCGATGTCTAATCCACCGTCTCCACGTTCCGCCGCCACCACAAGGAGAAATTATCCCCGGAGATTGGCAGCCTCGTGGCGATGCGCTCGATTCGTCGACAATCGACTCGCTTCGGGCCAAGGGATACTGAGATTCATTAGCTGAGGTTCGAACGTTCGAGGAATGTTTAAGAGCGTCACGAGGAAGCGAGTTGGTGATCAGAGTTGGAAATGGATTGCCATTGTGTTGTTTGATTTAGGGAAATATGTTTTTCAGGGGATGGTTAGGGAGATGGGATTGAAATTTGGAAATTATTGGAATAAGTTGATAAGTATGTTTTGTAGCTTGGTTAATTTGTTCAATTTTGGATTGTCGATTTTAATTTTATGGGATAAATTAAATTGACAGTGGATATAGTATATAGTAGTATAATTAGATAATTAATTTGTCAAATGTTTCGTTTGTTTGAAATAAGTATTAGTCTCGGAATAGATGTTTCAACTTTGGATAATCGATCTTAATTTCATGATATAAGTGGATTTAACTGTTTTTAGTTTTGATATTTTATAATGGGTAATTAATTTTTAAAATATTTCTTTGTCACTTTGCTTGAAATGGATATTCTCAAAATGGATGTCGAGTTATCGATTTTAGTTTTCTAGGATAAGTTGATTTATTTTCATGAATTTTATAAACATGAGCAGTTAATTTAGTAAGAATATTTATTATTTTACTTGAAATAAATTTTTAGAAAAATAAGAACGAATGAACATATGAGCATTGACTTTTAATGCGATATTTATGTAGTTTGATACAATTGTCGAGTTATTTTTAAAATATTTACGTGATTTTAAAAATAAGATATGTTGTTCAATTATTTGAATTTCCATAAAAGTCAATAAAATAAAATAAATGGCGGTACATTCAATACATGTCCTGTTCGTGATTTAATTTAATAAAAACAATTTTTCCTACATTTGATACGCGAAATAAATTATCCATAAAAACACATAAACAGGTTATCCATAATTTATTTCCCGTCATAATCTTGAACATATCGTTTTGTACGCGTATCACTTTTAAAAAAAATAATCATTCTTCTCTATAAATAAATCTAATATATCAATCCGATTCTTAAATAAAAATTCGACGCGAAAATCATGAGAGGATCATAAAACAATTTTCACCGAGGATAGGAGGAAAAATGAGAGCGAAAAGTAGCGTCGTCGCCTCGTGCAAGTTCTCCGGGGATGAGATTGGACCGAATGAAAATCGTTAAGATTCTGGTGGCGTCGTGTCGTTGGTACATTTGAGCCCGTGCTCTCTTTGTTGGTACGCGTCCAAAGGAGCCGAGGGGATCGATAGCCGCTCTCAATTTTCGTCTCTTTCCGCGAGGACCGTTTCCACGAAAAGGTCGGCACGAAAACCGTGGAAAGGAAGAGGGTTATCGAACGAAAACCGTGGCCACGGTGTAATTCGGTGTGTTTTAGGATCAGGGGTCAGCTCGTAAAGTTCCCTGGGACAGCCATAAAATCAGCCGCAAAACCGACGTGTACCCTCGCGGGGTAACACGCTCGAAAACTATCGACCGTACACGCGTCTCGACTTCATCCATTTCCAGTTTAATTTTACAAAGGTTTGTAGGAATATACATTTTCGCCAGATCGAATTAGTATCGACAGTTGCAAGCATTTACGTTACGATTAATCTTTTACTTTTTTTTATCAATGTAGTATATCCAGATGGGATCTATTAATTTGAAGATATCTGTCTGTACAATTAATAGCAAGAAGAGTAAATTATTAATTATTATATTATATAAACGCTTGAATATTATAATAATCAAGCTATTAAACTTTTACAAACAATATAGAACAACATATAGAACATATAATAAAACGTAAATCGAAACTTTCGTGTTGCTGGAATTCGTATAATGAATATATTATATTAAAACTTCTTATTTCACGAGGATATAAATCATTCTCATACGTGGTCAGAATTAAGTAATACGGATCAGAAGCGTAGGTCAAGCAAGAAACAACGGTCCACGTATCATGTACAGAGAGTAGTTATGTCTCGAATTCCTCTTGTCAACAGGAATCTACGATCCTTTCGACACTCGAGATTCTCCATCCTGATTACGTTATACCCAATGCATACTGTTCCATTGCTGCTGATACGTACGCTAATTCGACAGACGGCAGGCTGATAATTCGATTCACGAGAAGCGTGGAACTAGCTTTCAACGGTATTACAGAGAAAGATCCTGGTGTAACGATACCGCTAATTAGCATATATTGGCCTGATTATTAATCGAATATTGGATGGATGCGTTTAAGACGATACCGTGGGGAGGAAATTGGCGGTAACCGAGGCCGATAGCTGTTCTGTGTATTTGTTTAAGAAAAGAACGTTCAAGGTTTCTGCTTTGAGACTCTAATGTATAGAAGGAAAGTCTTATAATGGGAAATTTGCGCGATATAAAGGCGAGTGAAAATGCATAAGATGAGTGTTTAGTGAAGCGTAGTTACGTTGAAAGGGGTTTTGTATGAAATTTCTGAAAATATTTGTGAACGAGCTTAATGTATATCGCGCGTATTTTCAACATAAGGGATACTTTCCTGTTTTAATGTATAATAAAGTATTAACAGGGAATAATGAATGTTTATTTTATAATTATGAGCACGTTTGGAGGGATTAAATGAATATTCTTAAATTATTATTATAAGAGTTTAAATTATTATATATTTTTATATACATTATTTGAATAATAATTTTTTCAAATAAAATTAAAATTTTTCCGTTATTTTTCTTAAAATTTCATTAAAAATTTCCACATTTACATAAAGCATGAAATTGCAACTAAGGATTAAAGTTAAATTTCAGTTAAATACCTTGATACGTGTAATCCTTTTCTACTTAACATCAGATAGTTTATGTCAAAAATATTTCAAAATAATTTAATCCTTTGAACTTACTTATTATTATTCAAATTATTTCGTTGTATTCACTCTTCTTGTTGATAATTCAATTAACACTTCTAAATTGATTTCACATTAAAATATACTAAATTAATAAGAATAATTTTAAATACTTCTTGAAAAATTGAATAGAACATTTTTCACTATTAAATAATTAATGTTACGTAATGTTACATCCACTTTTAAATTCGTACGCCAAACCATTGGCTCGTATCACTGAAATCGCGCCCAAATTATCGGCCGAAAGAAAAACGTTCCACAACTTCGAACTCTCTCACCACACATTACACCGCAGATTCCCAATCACCTTCAACCCCATATACGGAACCACAGTTTCCACCTCCCAATTTAAAAGCATCGCGACACGGCGAAACAGGTCAAAGCAAAGAGAAATCAATTTCCTTCCGTAGTTCTCGTCTCGCTTTGCGATAGCGAAACACCGTGGATATTGATTCCTTTTTTTGTTTCCGCGATAGCGGAAGTCTCCCACAGGGATTTAACCGTGTGAAAGAGGATCGACACCTACTGTTCCAAGGGATACTTCATTAATCACTCGTTTTCCCACGAGCACGCCCTTCCTTCGTCGACATTTCTGTTCTTCCCTTGATAAAGATATTCGAGTACTTGTAAATGTACTCGAGATAGCTATTCAATTATTATTATGAAACATTTTTTAATAGTTTTAAAAAATAATGGAGATGTGATATTCATAAAATTAGGTATTATTTAAAAAATAATTAATAAATTCTCTTAAAGCCTTAAAGAATAATTCTTTTCTGAATTCTTCGTTTCTCTTTAATACATTTCGTGTTATAGTTCGTCGATTTCATTCATCCTTGCGCTTCGTGAACGCAGATAAGAAAACTCTTGGCGCCTGACCCATCTCCAAGCTTATCGCTAAAGTAGAATAGGCAGAAGACACCTATTAAGAAAACCTTTGATATCTGACTCGTCTTCAACTTTATCAACTGGATGGAATAAGCAGTAGACATCAGATAAATATCTTGCACTTGTTAAGAAAATTCTGGCGCCAGACAGGACTGTTTCTTTTGATAATTAGTTTTCGATTCAATTATCGATTTGCCCAGGTTATTAGATTATTTTATTAGACACAAAAGAAAAATATTAAATAAATTTAAATTAAATCTAATTTTTTTTAATTTAATTAAAGCAATAATAATTTAAAATATCGCCAGAAAACACAGACTATATTACCAATTTCTCATTTAATTTTCTCTTTATCCATTTGATAACAATATATTCTATCAAACTACAGTTCTCAACTCCTTTTATTACATTTCAGTTCACTAGAATAAAATGCATAATACTTGAAGATCCAAAAGAGTACATATAAGCTGTATACTAACTAACCATTTGTTTTTACAGGGGACGGAAGTACAAAAGCGACAGCCGTGGGGGTTGTTACGAGTTTGTTCCATTCGACAGGAGTTTGCGGAGCAATAATTAGATCAACCCCACGGAGAAAGCGTGGACGAAAGGGGATAGCTTTGGTGGGGATAATTAGGTAATTGGTCTTGCCATATCTTGCGATCGATTCACGGGAACCGGCTAATTTCATTTTAATCAAGTTGTTCGAATAGCTCGAACTTCGGACACATTTTTCTTACCGCCCAGAAGTATTCCGTCCTCGTGAATAATTCCGGAGAATAACGGATTCGAGGAGGAGTCTAGACAGTGGAATTAGACTCGAACAAGTAGAGCATAGTAATGAGTGCGAATTATTTTCTAGGATTCTCTGTAATCCGTCCTTAGCTTCCTTGCCTTGTAATCCACGCCGATACTGCCGTGCAATTTGCATCTGTTTGATTTATTATTTCTTCTGAGATTCGCGAGAATGACTGGGCGATGTGTACTTAGCCTGTTCCAGAAGCTCGTTTGATAGATAATTTCGTTAATTTGAATGCATGCTCTGGTGCACGTAATAATGAGAATTGAATTTCGAAGGGGTTGGATTCTAGGAATAAAAGAGATAAATAATTCCCAATAATGGGATATTGAAAAATTATCGATTTGACAATCGATCCAAAAGAACGAAATTATAACAATTGATATTCCATCGTTCAATAAACACGACAAATCGATCCAAATCAAATCCAAATCAAACATCAAGGCGTCACGTTTATTCAGTAGACGAAGAAAGATCCCACGACCGGAAGACCTCTCTCTTCTGCGTCACTCGTGTCACGTCGAGGCCTCGTAAAATGTGGAACAACATGGAATCGGATTTCCCGTAAAATTCCGTTCTTGTATCCGTGCTTGTCATGGGACGTACACCCCATATTACAAGGTTCCATTGATACCCTTCCAACTCGAGGGTATTCGAAAGGATTTTCCACGGTTCTTTTCGATGGTGAGCGTCATTGAATATCGTGGACACGGCAAAGGATAAGAGAAGCTGACAAGATTGAAAATTCTTTGAATTTGGATGAAATTTCGTAGATTTGAAAAGTAATGGATACGTAGTATAACCTCTGATTAATTTTATCTCTTTCATAAATTTTTATGAATAGAAGAATTTTCTTGAAATAATGCGAAATCCAAAGTTATTAAAAGTCTATTTCGATAACGTTCAACCTTGAATTCGCAACTACACCTCGACTAACTCGATGGAGTTTATCATCCATAATCTCTAAAGTTCTCACACACACTGTCCGTCTGTTTCAGCGGCAGGAGCGAAATTTCGTGGCGAGACGTCTGGACACGCGCACCTCCTAGCGGTTCAAACGGTTGTAAAAGTAAAGTAGGAGAGAGAAAGAGAAATGGAACAGAGGGTGGCGTGAAAGGTGGCGCGGTTTAATCCGTGGTTCAACGAGCGCGGCTTGTCGAGTTCGAGCCCGTTAATGGAAGGTTAAGCCAGCTGATCCTCGGCTAACTTTGTACACCTTATCGAGCAAGGAGCCTATCGAACCATTCCCTCGTTTACCTTGCGTCCTACTCTTCGTGCATCGATCAAACAGGTGTTTGTCTAAGGAATTTACGACACCGATCGCTCGCATCGTCCGCCAGAGTAATTGCACCCTCTTCGACGCCCACTTTTTGATTCTGGGAAGTTTGTTTGGGTGACTTTAAAGTAGAAGAACGTTGAAACGAGTCTTGGACACAGTTTTTCCACTTTGGCCGGTGGTAAAAAGAGGTTGAATGATCTCGCCGGAGGAATTGCCGCTGCCAAGTTCTATTGATTTTCCGAGGGACCCTCGGGAGATGATGCAAGAGAGATTTAATAGCGGAGATTTTCATCGAATTTCTGTCTTCGTCGATATGGCTGCATGGCGCCACTGAATGTGGGACTTTGTAAGCTTTCGTGGGACGCTCTTTGGCCTAATTTTTTATATCTGAGAGATTAGAATGGAAGAATGGATTTGATTACATTATATTTTGGGATTTCATTTGATTAAAAGATATGGATTTCCGATCTGTGAGAGATAATTAAGGAATTTCTTTGAATGGGTGGATCAATCTTAATTGTCAAATTCTGGGATATTATATATATGATATATAATATATACTATAAATTCCAATTGAAAGTATAAATTAAAAGTATTATAAATCTAGACGGAAGTTTTAATTATTGAAGAGTAATATCACTGGATTTTCTTTATGCTGTTCGTTATTAAGATTTCATTGTTTCAATTCGAAAAAGTATATCTTTTTCTTCGTAAATAACTTAAAATTATAATAATTTTAATATCGTGGGCGATTAATAAAAGTATACAAAAGAGCGTATTAAATTTCAAGAAGAAATTAATTAATTTCTATGATATTTTCTGTGCTCAGCAAGAGGCTGGAAAATCTGTCGAGCTATTCATTAAATTTAATTTCAAAGATTGGGAAATCGAACATGGTCGATTCAATTTCGCGATGCATCTCTATTTAAAATCACAAGCATACATATTTCTTTAAAGCGATTGAAGTGTTCTTAAAAATCGATAATTAACTAAATTCCCTTCATTATTATCGATAATTATTTCAGTATTTGGAAAGCTGAAATATTATCCTTTTCTTATTCAGTTAAATATTTTCCACGTAAAATATAAAAATTGTTAAAATCTTCTTGGATTTATGAAACATAGCTATCTATATCTAGCTATATCTACTAATCCCAAAGCACTGAAACAGTGTAACTATGGTATATTTCCTATCATATCAACTGTAGGATATGTCCAACCCATCTCAAGAGAGTAAAACTTTCCTCGAACAATCTCAAGATTTTAAGTATCGTAATAGAGTTCTCGAAAGCTGTGCGATCTCAAACACAAGGCTCCTGAGACTCGACAGAAACCATCCAAATATTATAACATCTACTAGAAATTAGTTCCAAGTCATAAGACTCATTATAAACTACTTTGTAGTTTAATTCTTCTAGAACTCCAGAGACTCTGAGTCATGGAATTTAGAAATTCGTAACATTGAGATTCTCGAAACTCTATCTTATTGGTGCCAAATTTAAGATATATACTTTACTTGTCATATTTATTATTATCAAAACATAAATCTTCCAAGACGTTAAATTCCATCCATAAACCAAAGATTTTAAGATTTTTCCAAACATAAATTTTAGAATCCAAAATTATAAATTCTAAACCCAAATTTTAAATCTCTGGATTTTGAATTCCAAAAATTTAAATTCTCATCAGTGATCTTAAATTTTAAGAATTTAAATCCCATCTCATAGACACGAACTTTGAATCAACACGCTAAAATCAATATATAAAGTTCTTCATTAACATTTTCATCTAAAGTTTGATTTCTCCATTAAACTCGATACGATCTAAATATCGTTAATAGAGCATTTCTCGTGTAACAGAATGACTCTGTCCCATATCCCATCCGAATCAAGATGGAGAGTTGTTCGAATAACTTCAAATAGGAAAGTTTTGACTTTCATTGGTGAGTGAAGCAATATATCCAACGGATAGAGCGTATGTGAGGCGAGATAGTCGGTTAGGGTGGCTCCTTCGATAACATCTCGTAGCGATTACGGTTGGTCTCCTTTCGCTTTTCAAGTTCCATTCTTAGGGTGAAGGGATCTCTGCATTCCATGTGGTAACGATGATTCGGTATCAAAGCGAGAAGCGGCTCAGCTATCCACGCGATTAGTCCTACGAAGTTTCGCGGATCGTTGAACCCGAATAGCGAGTTTTCCACTCCTCGGGAGTTATTGGGTTCCATAAAGACTTCAAATCGGTTTTCCTTTTGCCGTTGACACACGCATGAATAATAATAACAATTTATTGTTTGTGTAATCGATACGAGACAAATATTTTAATCAAAAGTTATAATTTTTAATTTAGTTTTAATCATGGAATGCAGATTCTTTAGATTATTTTTCGAATCATTTGCAATTCATTTATTTGATATATTCTTTTCTTAATAATTAAATAAATTAGAGTATTTTCTCCAAGATATTTATTAATCAAAAAATAGATGTAAAAATTTAATATATATATATATTATATGCATATTACTATAATATGCTTCGTTTGATTTAAATATATCGACAGAATGATTATTTTATAATTATTTGTCGATGGAAACAATTGCAATTAATAAAAATAGCAGCTAACCCATATTCTTTTGTGATTCGTGAATTATTCGTATCCAATTTATTTTGAAAATCATGCCTGAAAATTTTCTTCCCCCTTTTCTTGAGTTTCTTTTTTATTCTACAAAGATAATTCAATCGGAATTATTCAAGCAAGTCCAGTGGTTGAAAATACGTACAAGATAAGTTTCTTTCGACGACAGAGAAACTCGGTCTCGTACGTTTCGTCCACAAATTGCCAGGACGTCCTGGTGGTGGTTCGACTACACCTGCAGCTTGAGGGAAATTTATTGGCCGGGTCAAACTCGTTTATCAGACTCGGAAACGTTGTCGCGAGCCGCTTAAAATTCAATCGGACGCGAGCCATCGTCTCCTCTTCTTGCCTCTATCTAGATAATTCGATGATACCTTTTTCCTTTTTGACTTGAAGTAGCGTGAATATTACATTTCAGTGAAATTACCCATGTAATTATATAATTACAGAAATATATCTGAACATTTGCATTTTGATGTCTTTTATTTTATTGTGATTAAAAATTTTTATTTTCGAACAAATAATTCTTATTGATTTCGTTAATTGGAACAAAATTTCCTATGCAACAATTACGTGCACGAATTATTCTTCAATTCAACTTCAATTACAAGATTTAAAATCTCATAATTTGATTAGATAAAAATATTTTATAAAATAACGTACACAATTTTATATAAAACCAAAATCCATCAAATCAAAATTAAATTATTTTAATTTAATTATTTAATTATTTAACTATTTTTCCGTTTTTTTATGAAGAGATAAAAGTTAACAAAGATTATTTATAATCTTTGAATCATAAATATATAATTATCTCTTCGAATGCTTCTTAATTTGATTAAAAATTGCTACTCACAAGCAAATTATTTATTTATTTATAAACTCGAAATTAAATTTCAAATTAAATCCCTTCCCGAATTAAATCGCTTCATTTATTATGCAACAATTTAATCTCATATGCATTCCACTTGCATTTCGATATCCCTTCGATAAAATGTCATTCTCCTCGTTTATATTTACTCTCTTTATATTTATACATCACGATATTAGACAAAATCGTACGTACGTTAAAGACAGCAAATGTTTCTTTCCATCGATGTTTCAAGAAAACAACATTACTGTTCCCTCGAAATTACGGTTACGGTTTATTCCCTTAGCGAAGATGCGTCATAGGGTGACGATCAAGAAGAATAGTCTTGAACGCGAGCAATGGGAGAAAGAATAGGGTGTGTATACGTGAAGAGCTATTTAATTTGTTTCCTAGGGTGTTGCGCGCCCGGTCGCCCCATTAGGCGAGAATGGGCCCCGCGATTTATGCGCCGACGAGATTATCTCGAAGATAAAGGCGGACAGCCAGATAACCGCCGGAATTTCGGGGGGTTGTTTCCGTATGGAAGACAGATCGAATTTATCACCCATCGACCTACTTAACTGTTGCAGAGTGGCGAGGGTGAATCTTGGCTCCGATGTTCCACGCGAAGAAAGTAGGACTCTCGCGATTGTTCCGCGAAAATCTTTCAGAATGTCGATGAAAACTGGATGGGCGAGATTTGGGAAGTTGTTGGTAGAAACGCGATGGGAATATTTATTTTATGATTTTTGTGAATTATGAGGAAATTGTGAAATGGTGCTCGAATGGTTGTTTAAAGATAAAATTGCTGAAAAATATGGATAAGATACTATTTACACAGAATGATGAGAATTAATAATTAATTTCTTTGTATAAAAAAATTTTCTTTATATTTCTAAAAGAAACTCCCATTATATCAATTCTCTTCTTTCATCTCCTTAAACAATTCTACCTCCAAATTTTTCAATCTCTCGTCATTCCAATTAAAATTAACCCCGCTCGATTTCTCGCAATTAACAAAATTCTCCTTATCCAAGATCAAATACCTCGATAATTATCATTCCCAACGAATAAACGAATTCACCAACGACTCGATCGAATAGAGAAATTCGTTTACAAATGATTCTGGAGAATTTGATGGCCGATTATTGAACGAAAGATCGGCAAGTATGATTCGAAAGTTCAGGTCTCGAAGCGTACGAAACTTTTGTAATTGTTCCATCGATTTATTCTCCCTCTTCTTAGCCTGGAAATAAATGTTCCTTCGATCGAGCGAGCGCACGCAGCTTCCCGAAATTAAACGGTTAGGCGTGCCTGATGCTCTTCTTCCTCTTGTTCCCATTTAAGGGAATAACAATAGGCGGGCTGGCGAAAATAGAGAGGAGTGTTTTTTGAAAATAATTGCTCGGAAGCTTGAGTATGCCGTGGAATTGGATGGGGGGTTAGAGTATGGATTGTTATCCTTGCTGTGTAATTTCCACCGGGTTGCTGGAAAACGGGTGGTAGGGATTTTAAGAAACAAGGGGTCAAAATTGCGCGGGCGTCGTCCTCGGTTGAACTCGACGAGGGATGGTGTGAAGGTATGGAATATCGTTACAAGGGATGCTAAAGGGATTCTTATGCGGTATTTGATGAGTTTCGTGAGGAACGGGCAATGAACCTAAGTTTATGTGGTTGGTTCATTATCATATATTATCCTATTTTATAACAATATGGATATCATTCTATGATTTTAGAAAAATACATTACAAATCGTTCAGACGATGCAGTTTCTTCACCAATTTGATAATAATCGTGATAAATATTTAAAATACAATTTTTCAAATTTCATGAAATATTACACGAGAATATTACATGAGAATACACGAAAAATAAATTTATAGAATTCAATATTTTTTCAAATACATAAGAGTACGTAAAATAAAATAAAATATTCTTTTTTTAAAGATAATTATTTAAATAAATACAAATAATATATTCCATTCCATTCAACCGATCGCCAAATAACGCTTGTGAAATATATACGAAATTAATGCAATTGGATCCGTTTAACTGCTTATGAATAACGCTCGATTGCAATCTCGCATGCAATCTTGCTGACTGTGTTTCGTAAACAACATTTCGAATGAATCATTTCAATTCGTTGATAAGGTAGCCGATTATGCGTCAACATTTTGATGTTACGATATTTTCCCGATGTGACAAGAAAAGGAACGTGAATGGGAAAAAAGGTGAAACGAAAGATTTATAAAAATATCGTTACTAATATTACAATAGAATTCACTTATTGCAAGATTTGATATTATTCGAGAAGAAGAAAATTTCTCTGATGTTTTTGCCAAGAAGGGATATTGATTAATTAATTGAGAGTCTTCTACAAAGTTTCCACGTGAATGGAACTGCTATCAATCAATGTTGGATTAGTGGAGAAAGTATCTTTGAGAAGGAACAAGGAACAAGTAACAATACCAAGTGATCCTCGTATAAAAGTAATAAAATAGAATTTACCCTCGAACGAGAATGACTGGCTTGTATCTGTCATATATTTTTACATTACGCTTTTTCGATTATGCTCGTGTCATTGTGTTATCGAATTTTATAGAAATAAGTTTTTAAATAGAAATCTTATTTCTTAACATATATTCTTAAAGGAATATCAGAAAATATCTGATATTCATTATTTTATCACAATCTTGAAAAAGATTTTTAGTAATTTAACAGAAGAACAGAAAATTATACTTATTCCTTTCCAAACGACGAATTTTACGAATCCAGTTATTATGTTCTATCTATTCTTGTAAATTATACTTCTTTCACGATCCTTTTAATTACCCGCAGGCTCGAGTCTCATAAAAAGAACCAACCACCTCTCATTTGCCTTTATCACGATCGCCATTGCCGAGCGCAATAAAAAATAAGCGGATCGATACAGGATGAAATTCGTGGTGATCTCGATATCTCGGCCATTCACGCAATATATGTAGTACCTCGTCAAGGTATATCGTGCTTCAACGACCGTCATGAGGTTCAGCCGCTGCCCTCATAAACCTCTGTGCTCTCATTTTACGTATTCGTTCTATAATCATGCGCTACCGCTCGTTTTCTAAAGCCAACTAATGCCACTTTTTTCTTTGCTTTCCTCTTCTGAAGTAAAACTTTTATATATACCAATAATTACAGATTATTTTTATCTTTAAAATTTGGAAAATTGGAATAATAAAGAGAGAAGGAAGGAAGTATAAATTAAGTTACGGTAAGTTGTAAATTTTATTTTCAAAAATATGTACGTATCTTATTGTTTAATGTTATTAATTCAACAATTAATTAATTTTTTAGCCTCAATCGCGACTCTAATCGTCATCATTAAAATATCTCAAAGCATCCGGAAAGAAAAAAAGGGCATCGCGAAATCTCCCCATTACGCTAAACCCGTACTTCCTCCTCTATCATTTTTCACCCCAAGCCGTCCAAACTGCGTCCATCGACTTGACACTAATCAAAAAGCCACCCTTCCGTTCAAAGGACACCGTGAAATAAATACACCAACATCTTTTCAATCTGATTCACGCATACCCTGCGAATCGATCCCTTCGAGCACCATCCCTCCACCACCTCTGCGAGGTGATCAGAGAGAAGCCTTCCCACATCCCCTCCCTCTCTGCATTCACCATCTTGCGTGATTTCCGACTTCACATGGCACTTTTCTCACCCGGCAATCTGTACCACACACGGAGGGTTACTCCGTCATCGCCATGGAAAAACGGGGGCAGAAGGTGATAGTACACGACGAAGAATCATCCCTATAGAGGGGGATAGTCGAAAGGAAGTGACCCAGGGTCGAAGACTGGCTGTGCAAGGACAGACATGAGGAGGGATGCAAGTGGTAGCCTGGCGATGGCTCGTGCCTCTCCGCTTCTTATAATGTTTTTCCAGAATAAATGGGCTTTCCAACGGGCGCGGTGCCGTCGTTGGCACAGCTTCTATGGGGTTTCGTAGCCATGGCAACCCCGTAACGCCATTAACCGGGCACAGGGTTTCTCTTCTGGCGAGGGTCTCCTGGCGCGTGGAAACTGCGACTCTTCTGTCTTTCTCTCTCTCCCTTACTTTTCGCCTCGTTCATCCCGTAGGGTGCTCCGAATCCTCGAGGACTTTCGGGGAAGAAGGCTGCGTGTGCGCTCGCGCCCCTGGAAAGAGAGAAACCCCATAAAAATAAATAACTCGCGATCCTGCGAGCGTAAAGGTGATACGAGGCCACCACCCACCCTTCGGGCTTTTTCTTCGCGCGTACACGCGTATGTTGGAAGTTAAATCGGGGGAGGGAGGAAGAGGAAATTGCGGTGTTAGTGTAGGTTTCAGCATGAACAGCGATAACGTGCGTTATTTTATCGAAATGGTAATGTATAATTGCAATTTTTATTATTTTTTTCTATTTCGAATCGAACAGAAAGCTCTGATTGATCATTATCTGATTGAAAATAATCGTAAGCTGGTTATTGATTGATATATAATGCTCGTTTTTTAATATTATTATTTTATTTCACGTGTAATTGGCATAGCAGTAAGAGAAATCGATCGACAATCGACCTATATTTATTTTCAATCGGATAAGAATAACGTGAAAAAGTTCTAAGTTAAAAATTTAAGATATCAGATGGAGTGTCAGATAATAGTATTGGATAATCTAATTTATGATTCTGTTACAGGATGTTTCAACAAGAATGGGATGCAAATTTAATTTGTCTCAAAATTTGAGTTTTACCTTATCCTTTATTTTTACCTATTATAGATAAAAGTAAGATACAAAATGGATTTACAGCCTCACACAATCCTAATATCATACAACAACATCCATCTCTTTTATTTTAAATAGCTAACTACGAACAACTTACTCGAACTTTTAAAAATCTCCCATAACACTCTGTTCCCTCCAAGTTATTTAAAGAGCGGGAAAGAAGGGGGTCTTTTCAACCAATACAAAATTATTGGATACCATTTATCTGTCCTCGGGATGGAGGGATGAAACGCGCGTCACAGGGAAGACTGTAAATAGACTAAAACGCTCGTCACTTCGTAACGCCGTAATAATAATTCCACGATGATGCACGAGGGATGGAATCGATACGCGTGACGCGCGTATGTAATCGAGGAAGCCGCTTACGCGGCCTGTTGCGAAACAATAATCCAGGGGAATAATTGGTCGATGGGTGTTACGGTTGTCCGGTCAATCTCGCCTGGGCCAGTCTATAATTCGACCATCGAATCGCGTTACAATCGCGTACCGCTCGTCTATTAACGGCGAGCGGTTGTCCGTGTTCGGTGACATAATAGATTAAACTAGATTTTCGACAATGGTGCCGGATGAAAGAATGGAAAGCAGCTTTCGCGATGGGAAACGCAGCATCTGACGGATGGAGCACACGTGCTCGCCATTGGGTTGGGTCGCTTTGTCGTTTCCGGATCGATTCTTGGCATATTTTTGTTACCGTCCGAATTCGATGTTCGCCAAGATTTATTGGACCGTTTTTTATTTTTTATTTTTTTCTCTCTCCTACGTGTACCCGAGTTTCAGGATGTAGTAAATTTTAGAGATTGCGCGTTGTTCTCTCGGTTTCGTTTTGCGAAACGCGGAAGATCGTGTTTACATAGGAAGGAAATAATAAAAGAAGGGTGAAATCAGACTTGTTTAAGATATTATATAGCATCTTCTCTTAAACATAAAAATATATACTACTAATCTCACTTTTAAAAGTAAAATTGACAAA